TCTGGGTGGATTCCTACTGGGGTTCCCTGAAGGTGCTGGGAGAAGGCAGGCTGCAGCTCCAGCCAGTCTCACCTGGGGTGGCTCCTAAGAAAGGGCATGCTTGCCCTTTGGCCCTAATCCCATGGCCAGGCTTCATGTTCCAGGTCACGGAGCCTGAGCCAGTGAGCTCCTGAGACTAGGAGGCAGAGGCTGAGGGTGGGGACTGGTTGAGAAGGCAACCTGGTGCGGGCGATAGTTGGCCCAGTTTTTCTGAGCACAATGAAGCTCGAGCCCCTTCCTACCTTCTTCAGGCTGTAGGGAAAACTCATCCTGCACACCATCCTGGCCTTCGAGGCAGGTTGCAGGGACCCAGCCTTGCTCCTCTGCGGTGCTGACGAACCACCAACCTGAGAAGCGAGGGTGCAGACTGATGTTAGTTAGGTCAAGTGTGAGGCACTGGGGATCAGAACGTAACAGCTTATTCAGCCACCGTATCAGTTAACACCCAGGGCAAGGCCACCAAGTCACCATTTTACTGGTAGAACCCAACTAGCAATGTGAGTTATTGGCAAATAACTGCCAAAGACAGGCTAACAAGAAACTCGCTCCTGTGTGCAACACAGGGGAGACAAAGGGTCCTAAACAATTAGTAATGGATATAGAGACCCCCACTAAGGTGTGCAATGCACGCATCATTTTACTTGCATTATCTTATATAATCTTTACACCATCATCCCCATTGCACAGATGAGGAAACTGAAGCTCATAGAGGTGAACAGACTTGTCCAAGCTCACACAGTTTGTGACAGAGCTGTGACTTGCATCCAGGGCTGTCTGGCATTGAAGCCAAAGTCCTCATAACTTATCTGAGTTACTGACTTAGTACTTGTTCATGTCAAGGTCAACCTGGTTGTAGACTTACAGTAGATTCTCATTATTCATGGATTCTGTATTTACAAATTTGCCTACTCGTTAAAATTTATTTGTAGCCCCCAAATCAATACTCGCAGCCCTTCTGCGGTCATTCATGAATATGTGCAGAGTGGTGGACAATTTGAGTCGCCCAATGAGCACATTCCCAGCTGAGGTGACGCTCTGCCTTCTTGTTTCAGCTCTCCTACTGTCAACAAGTCTTCTTTTCATGGTCTATTTAGTGCTACGTTTGTCACATTTTTGTGTTTTTTTTTTTTTTTAATTGTACTTCAGGTGAAGGCTTACAGAACAAATAGTTTCTCATGAAACAGAAGTACACATGTTTTTTAAGACATTGGTTAACAACCCCACAACATATCAACCCTCTAACTTCTCAACCTCTTTTATTTTTGGGTGAAAATACACATAGCCAAAGATACACC